TTTACACAGTAGATTAGTGGTATTTTATTGTTATCAAAGTTAGGTTATTGATACAAGTTTCTCACACGCTCTGACAAATACTTCAAATATTCCTAAAATATCTCAGACATGCTCTTATTGTCAACGGGCTTCCATTCTATGTAATAATAATAATAATAATAATTGTTTATGAATAAAACCACTCACAGCCAGGTTCTCACGATCTAGATAATTGGTTACCAGGGACATTATTTGGGTGAAATGTATAATATTCAGCGTTTTTGTATCGGTCATAACAATGATCTATTGAGCACATCGATAGATACCGTTATAACGACTTGAATATCGTAGCAACTCGTGACTGTCTATATTTATATACTGACTAGTGATTTTGAACTGATTTTAAAGGATTGATGGTAAGATAATACGGCCTACCACTAATATAACCCAAACAGCATAATCAATACAAAGTATTGTTACTTTTATGGGACTATAGACTATTAAAGGTTGCTGTTTGCTGGGAAGACATAAAGTCGTCTACATTTTAATCATGTTTTATCCGGGACGACGGTGGTGAGTCTGTATATCTAACTTTACATTTTGATAAATTATTCACCCCAGTAGTTAAATCATTGTGCCTTTTCTTCATTCGTCGTACATAATTGTACAGAAGACGTTATTTAAGGGTACATCAGGCACAGAATTGAATATACTATAATAAGCAGCAAAAGAAACGTTAGGTTGGTAAGTTATTCTGAATAGACGCATTGCATAAAACTTGCCAAATGTTTTTATTGTATATTTGTGACCACATCTCCAACCTTACCTGAGCAATAAGGCCCCTTCCCAAACACAGAATTCCCCGGGACCAGCCCTATAAAATGCACCGCATACCTGGTTGAATCATTCACACTACAACGTCACCAGCATGCCACGACTCACGACAGCTCAGAGGAACCAGGTGCTTCGAAGATTCGACGCTGGCCACACTGCCAAAGCCGTTGCTAATCAATTCCAGGTCAATGTTCGGACCATCTACAGGATACAGCAACGCTTTCAGGCCACCAACACCTCGGACGATCGCCCTCTAACTGGTAGACCAAGGGTTACCACAAGGCGACATGACCGCCATGTTGTACGACAGCACGTGCATAATCTCTTCACATAGGCATCTGAGACAGCACGTCAGGCAGTGGGAACACACGGAAGACCCATTAGTATCGATACAGTGCACCAACGTCTCACCAGAGAGAACATCCATTGCCGTAGACCTTGCCGTGGACCGATCCTCACCCCTCGCCATCGAGCTGAACGTCTACAGTTTGTCCAACAACAGCAGAACTGGCGACACGGGCAATGAAGAACTGTTCAGTTCACAGATGGAAGTCGGTATTGCGTATCAACTGCAGATGGCAGGACCAGAATATGGCGTCGACGTGGCCAGCGTTATTCTGACCAATGTGCCATGGAACGAGACTCATGGGGAGGTCCAAGCATAATGGTTTGGGGTGGAATCGACCTGAACCAGACACAGTGGGTCCTGTGGTTTTCCAAAATCTTGGTCCAGGGAGAGGAGGCGGCATCACAGCAGTGCGCTGCATTGATCAAGTTCTCAGACCCCACGTCATACCACATTTCGCACGTCATCGAAACAACGTTTTCCAGCATAACAACGCCCGTGCCCACACCGCCAGAGTTACACGGGACTTTCTACAGCAGAACGGTCCGGACTTAAACCCAACTGAACATCTTAGGGGTGAAATTCAGAGGAGACTTAATAACGTTGTACCGAGACCAAACACAGCCGATGGATTGCGTCAGGCTTTTCTTAGAGTGTGGTTCCAAGTGCCAATGGCGTTCATCAATCGTCTGGTCCACTCCATGTACAGAAGCTGCGCTGCTGTTTTTGACACTCGCGGTGGACACACTAGATACTGATGTATAGACTGTGTACATACTCTAAACCTTCTCGTAAGTCGTAATGTCTTGGAATTTTGATGAATTAATCACTAATGTGTCAACATACTGTTCACAAAAATTGCTTTGATCCATTTAGTAAGTCGTTTTCTAGAATGATTTTTTTTGCTGTTTAGTATATAAAGTAAGAAAAACCGGATAAACAAATTATGATTTATTCGTGTATCTATTTCTGTACTTCTTTAGTTTTATTAAAATTAGTTAATGTAGCAACAGGATTAAACGGTGTTATACCTACACGTACTGAATGGCTGCCCATATCCGATTTGCTTAATTGGCTGTCAAGGAACACAATTATTGACTTGATTATATGAAGAACCATTTAAGAATCACGAATAAAACAATGTTACTGCTCATTTTAACAATGTGAAAGCTTCGTTGGTGATATGAAAAATATAATTGCTTTATAACATGACAGGGATATTTCTTTCACAAGAGGCTAGTTAGTTTGGTATATTCCTACATATTCTTATACAAATAAAAACAAACTAACACGAAGTAATTTATTCTCATTTTTATATATCGAAGACGACTGTGCAAACGTTACAATGTATCTATTGATCGGTGTTAATTGATATATCATGAGGGTAGCAATGTAAATATAGACATTATTATTGTATATCAGATGTAGCTTGTTCATCATCGTACCATACTAGTATTTACTCCATGTCACGATCAAAAAAGAGTCAATGTTAAACAAAAATCAGATGTTGATATCAATTAACATTATGCACAGAAGTTTAGCCATGCGGGTGTGAATCCTTTGATTAACACCATGTTGTCGTAAACCATGTTGTCCAATACCCGCGTTTGAATTAATAGGGTAATTTAGGTAAATATCCTGATTACGATTTTGGTAATCATACTTGTCATATATTTTATTAACATTATAAGTGCATGTCAAATATTCTTGAAACCGGTGTAAAATAGATTGCAATATTCTTCGACTCTTCTTTGTCCATTAGTTTCTGTGTGACCTAAGTTCATTTAACGCATTTGTTGTCGAAATTTATATCCAAAATCTTTTCAATTTAATTAAACTATTTATTTTTATTTAGAAAACAATATTACTAATGATGCAAGATCTTGTAAGTTCGGTGATTGTAAGTTCGGTGTAAAAACCAGAATCAATTAATACTGAAATTTATACACTGTGTATTATATAATCTAAAATTATTCAGTAGGAAATTGAATAAACGTGAAATTTTGTCTAAATGCTTATACATAGCAAATATAAGATAAGTATACATACATACCTATATCCCAGGTTGATAACCAGCACATGGAGCCCCTAACAGTTAAAATAGTGTATCTATATTATGTGGCCTTTTATAGGGCTTTTACCTACCTCACGCATTCTAATACCTACAGGCTTAGACATGAATTGCGGTTTTTACTTACATATATTCATGACAATTGTAATATCATGCTTTGAATTAATTAGTTGAAAGTTTATTTCGAAAAAAATATCCGAATGGTTTATTTGAAATTGACTTATATTTATCAGAAATGAATATGCATACTGACAAAAAACAAGGCTAAATCTTGAGAACAAAAACTATAGCATTATAAAGATTGTAATTTGTAGAATAAGATACTGCCATGACAAAATCCTCCCAATGCTACAAACTATGTTAATCTCTGTAGAACGCGTCTAGCATTATACATGTAGCAGGCTAACTTAAAGCATAAGCAAAAGTATAAAGCCATTTGGATAAATGATTTTACACTCTAGTTGGACTTTACACTTTTTGATTTCTACAGATGAAAAAACAACAAATTTGACATTTTTTTTTATCAATGCACAGACTTATTGTAATGATGTTTTGAAATTCATAGCTATATGTGAGTTTAGATTTGATAATATGAAACTGGCATATTCTTTATATCGAATGTATGTGAAAGTCTGAATTTTAACACTATTCCAAAAAAAAAAATTAAAAAAATATTTATGAAATTCTGATCTTTTTTAGAGTCGGGTTTGTAAATTAAAATGAGAATGGTGTAAATCTTCTATTTTGCAAATAAATGTCAGATTATTTAACCTTTTATCGTAACACAACCACTCTAGCAACCATTCATTTTGCAATTACATCTGAGAATAGTAATACGGATAGATATTATAAAATGGAGCGAGTGTTCTAATCCACAATGGTATTCTTATTATTTGCAGTACAAAAGTCTTTCTGGACGTCAAATTATGATTGGCCAACAGTCTCTAGTAACAAATCTTAACAAGCCTATATAATAGTCTAGTGGCTCAAAGGGAGTTTGAGGGGAATCGCCACCCGAGAGGAGAATTTATGAGACCCAATAAACTTTCACGCCAATTGTCGGCATAACACCCTACCCGCAAAGCCAAAAAGACGCCTATAAGGGCATTTACTGCAAGAAATTAATGTTTTACTAATGATCATCATTACATGATACACTTATACACTTCTTTAGAAAGGAAGGGTTTATTAATCTATAAGTTGATCATCATTGACATCAACATTAATCAACTTTACCGGCAATTTTAGGCATCCCCCCTCCAAAAACTACCTGCCCCACCCCAAGTTCAGATGGAAGTCTAACTGTTCTGATAGTGACGGCCAGGTGTCATCGTTTCAACTCCAATTTAATCGTGTACGTAGGTGCGCCTGGCCAGTCACGTTAAGATGATTTCTATCATATAAACATTATATTTTACCTATATTCCTTTACGTTCTTTACTTTAAAACTTTCAAATTAAAAAAAACACACCTCAATATTTCAAAGAAAACAAAACATTATTTTTGCATAGAAAAAAATTACCTTGCAGCCTTTAATGTTTTATTATGGTCTCGATATCAAAGGTCACTATCGCGACGATATTAAAGTGATTTTAGGTCAGGATTATCTCTGCACTTGTCAGTGAACCTCAATTACTGTTTGAAAGAAAATTTGTGTCCCAAAGATAGTAAATAATATATACTCTACTGAATTCATGTAGACAAGTATTTAAGATAAATAAATTATTTTTTTTTAGCTAATCAGAACGATGCAACCCTCTTATATTCCAGGTCATTGCTACACTAAAGATTTCTGAAGACTGACATACAACAGTACTTTGTTAGAATAGAAGCGGTATTAGGTGTTCTGGAAAAAGTAAGCGTAACCCTTCTTCTGTATTCATCCACCACCGGCAAATTGGGGCCATGGTTTGCACCCGGTTTTCTGAGGCAAAAGGCCATGGGTGCAAGCCAAGTAGAGTCGCTAGCCCAGCAAAATCCTCAAATGATAAATGGTAAATATATATATATATATATATACATACATAATTTAATGTCATTAGTTTTTTTTAAATAAAATGTGTATACACCTAACTATTGATAGGATGTTAAGCTCATTGAAGGGAAGACGCCTCTTATGTACCAAGACTTCTTAACACTCTACAGGTCGCAATTGTCGTTGGATCTTTTAGAAATTTCAAAAGACTGTTCAGCCGGAGAAATGACTATTGGTTTTGACCGATTTGCGTGGTTTCTGCCCTAGACATGTACGTTGGGTTGCCTGACAAATTACCCAAATTTTTCTGCCTGCACACCGGTTCACCTCTGTGATTTTATTCTTTTTCTTTTAAGCGAGGAGTCTACTTCTACGGTATACAATGCATGTTAGTAAGCGTCCCGCCATTTACAATGGGATTTTGACTTTAAAGTAGCTAAGTCTTTAACTCAATATCATCTACAGTCTCCGACATTGAAAACCCGAATTATTTGTCAATTTAAATCAACATTGATATTGTGATCTTACCGGGAAAACCATTTTACCATTAGTACACGAATCGTGTACCACAATGCGCTTCAGTGCCATTTGTAACAAGGGACTCGAAGAATGAGGCTAGAAATATTCTGTCAAAGGCTAAAAATATTTGTTAAGGCCAGCTCAGTTTTCGTCGAAGTCGCTGAGATGTAAATAAGGTTAGGACATATGATTGTTGGCGAGACTGTAAGTTAGGGTTGGGGTAAGCATTGGGGAGAAGTTAAGTGCTAAGACTTCTCGCTTATTTCGCCGAACATAACTGGTTTGAAATTAGAGTACCGTAAAAACGGAAACGATTTAATGTAAATCAGTTTATATACATTCATATTACATTATCATATGCGTTGCGACCCACTTGTCTCAATTTCTAGGTCGCAATATTAGCGATTTAGCTCCTTTAAAATAACTTTTCAAATAACGTTTTTTATTAAATTTAACAAAAAAATACACCCTCTATGAAGACGAATATCGGCAAGTGTCAGTGCTTCAAGTTTGATTTGTAATTAATAACGCTGTTAAATGGCCAATTTAATTACATCGGAAGCTGAATAATGATCAAATAAGGTCTCGTTGGCAATAAAAACGACGGGTAGTGTTAGAACTAGTGAGTATTGTGAGATGTTAGCAGACGAAATGCCTTGAAGACGTGAAAACAAAGATGGCGGCTGAAATACCTTCTTAGATACTATAATATATAGCCAAGCAGTAGTAAGAAGTTTTATTTTAATCCCTTCAAGTGCCTGTGCTAAACTCCTATAGACTCATAAAACTCCAGTCTTTTTGTCGTGTCAAGTGTGTTTATATTTGAAACACATTTAGTGACGTCGACAATTTGTTCAAAGCAAATTATTTTATAGAACAACTTATGCATTTAGAAAGATAACAGGCTATGGGGGTTTTTTTTCCGCCAAGAATTAACATTGGCTTTCTAAATATTAAATTACACCGTAATGGCATGCGACTCAATCAAATATACAATATTTATCCATTTCATTGTATTGTATGCCAGGGTGTTTAATCCTCAACAATACGATACTCTTGTAAATAAGATAGTAAATGGTGCTATCAGTATAGTGATGTGAAGACTGGTAGATCAGAGTTTAAGATGCAGAAAATGATTCTTTTTTTCTGTTTCTTTTGTTAACCTTTTGTATTGAAAACAAAAGACGGATAGCGACCCTAGCCACAAATCATTATCGACTTCTTCTCTTGAAACGCTTTATAGGTTTTATCGACATTTGGTAGGGTTATAGCAAGAGTGATATTTGTTGAGATTTGTCCCAATTGATAATTATTAAAAATACATTATGGGAGATTAGAAAAAGAACTGACAGTTCTCACTATAATAGTTAAAAACTAGATAATGTAAAGGGAATTTATTGAAAATTTCAGTCAAATTGATCCACTCTGAACAGCGATTGAATTTTCGGCCTAGTCTCGGTCATCATTACTAAAGTCAGTACAATAAAAACCATAGTCTCGATTATCCATTTCATGATTAAATTATGAATGGAAATTTAACAGGAAATCCGAACCTAATCCAATAAACATCGCAAGCTAGCAATGTCATCGAGAGTTGATTATGGTCTGGATAAGTTAATTAATGCCTAATTAATAATTTAGATAACATTTCATGCCTAAAGAAAGACCTTCAATAGGCAGATTTAGCGCTCGCATAATGTATGTTTAAGGGACATAATATTGAAAACATTCTTATTCCGAATGAATGAATGGATTTCTATAGAATTTGGAAAGGGAAAAGTTTGTTTAAATGAACGAACCGGACAAACGTAATCAGTAAGACTCCTCGGCTGACTGGTAGAGGGTACTTACAATAATCGTTTTTCAATTCACAACTTAAAATGCCATTTTCAACAAATATAAAAATGAAAACTATCTTCCTGAATTTTTTCTAAATATAGAAAATTCTTGCAAGATAGCTGATTCTGTTCTTGACTTCGGTGTCAATATAAACAATACAGCAAATTTAATGTCGGTATTTTCGACAAAAGGGACAGATTTGGATTGGAAATTGTAAAATACCTTCACTTAATAGTAACATACCAAATGTTACTTTATATAATGTATTCTATTCACAGGCACTACACAGAGATAGAGAGAATTTTTTTCACAAGGCCTATTTTTATGGGCGGCATCGCTAGGCTACATTGTGATCGTGTCCTTGTTAATTTTCTAAATCCAGTTGAGAACATCTAGGACATTCTTGGGTGTAAAATCCGTCAGAGGAGTCCATCATTGCAGAATCTTGACTATGTGGAGCAGTCACCAAACCAGGAATGTAACAGATTAACACGGGCGCAGATCCAACATCTCATATGTCAATGAGAAGGTGCGTTCAACAGGAGATGCAGCTCGCCGTAGACTACACACCAGACATCTGTTTACTATTTTGACGACTCTATAGAAAACTTGAACATAAAATGAACTGAACTGAACAATGGGATTTCCTATTGACCTGTACCAGCCATGTTTCATCCATTTTCCGCCCCTATTTTTTAACTCGCCAGAATCACATTAAATCCTATTCAGTTATTGTCTTTCTTTGTTGGTTCAATATATTCGGTAGAACCAGGCTTGAAATCCGGTCAGAAACAAAGCATTTTATAACGAAATACTTACAAGTATATTGATGTTATCTATCCGGTTATGTAATGTATTTGTTTTATGATGAGCATTACCTACATTGGTTGCTATTTATATTAAGATGATGTACCTTCATTGGTTGCTATTTATAATAAGATGGTGTACCTACATTGGTTGCTTCGTATAATAAGATGTTGTATCCATATTGGTTGCTATGTATAATAAGATGATGTACCTACATTGGTTGTTATGTATATTAAGATGATGTACCTACATTGGTTGCTATTTATAATAAGATGATGTACCTACATTGATTGCTACGTATAATAAGCTGATGTACCTACATTGGTTGCTACGTTAATAAGATGATGTACTTACATTGGTTGTTATGTGTAATAAGATGATGTACCTACATTGGTTGTTATTTATAATAAAATGATGTTCCTATATTGGTTGCTATGTATAATAAGATGATGTACCTATATTGGTTGCTATGTATAATATGATGATGTACCATTGGTTTCTATGTATAATAAGATGTTGTACCTATATTGGCTGTTATGTATAATAAGATGATGTAGCAATATTGGTTGTAGATGATGTATCTATATTGGTTGCTATGTATAATAAGATGATGTACCTACATTTGTTGTTATGTATAATACAATGATGTACCTATATTGGTTGTTGTGTATAATAAAATGATGTACCTATATTGGTTGCTATGTATAATGAGATGATGTACCTATATTGGTTGCTTTGTATAATAAGACTATGTACCATTGGTTTCTATGTATAATAAGATAATGTACATATATTGGCTGTTATGTATAATAAGATGATGTAGCAATATTGGCTGTTTTGTATAATAAGATGATGTAGAGATTTTGGTTGCTGTGTATAATAAGGAGATGTAGCTATATTGAATGAGATGTTCTACATGTACTGGTAATTATGTATAATAAAAGGTACACTGTATAAAAAATAACGAGCCAGATTGAAACACCAGTGTATTTTATTTGGACAAATATTTAATAATTCCACTGACTAAGTGTATTTTAGTATTTATGGTAAATACAGTATGAGTCTGGTTGACGAGACAAGTGGGAGTTTTGGAGTACCTCTTATATTGACTTAAGACACGGGGATGTTGGTCATAGCCTCTACTAGATTAGATAGGTCACATATAGCGAGCAATATTCTAGATTTATAACTTATAGTCTGATTATCATATATCATATATATACATTTCTATATTTTCATAACTGATCAGTAGTTTTGACTGACTGTTGCTAGAAGGATATACAGACAAATAAATATTGACTGCCATATATAGGTATATATATATGGATCCAAGTACTGATAGTTTTCTGATGGTTCAGTTATCATAATATAAACTTTTACTTATATTACTTATCAAAGGTAATATTATATTCCATTTCTCTTAGATTTCATTTTCTACTTGGATGTATGCATTTATTTATTTTTTGATCACGCTTTGTATAAAAAAAAGATTTGGAAAAACAAGTTATGATAAATACTTAAAAGGGTATTTAAGTTATCAGATATCCCACTATCGTAATTATAATTAATAGTGATGAGATTTAGAGTCATAAAATAAAACCAAGTACGAACAATCCAAACCATAAGACAGAATTCGAAGTCCTAAAAAAACGTTATAGGCAAAATAGTGTATTCAAGCAAAATAGTGTAATCAGCAAATGGACTACTCCTCGTGTACAAATTACACGACAAACAGTGGTAACAGGTGTCCGGAAGAGTAAGCTTACCCTGCCTGGCGCCACACCCGCCATAGCTGCATCCAAACTATTAGGCGAAATGTCGGTAAAATAGCGTGATTGGCCAATGAACTATCAGTATGCAAAATGCACGCGATGAACTGTGTTAACGATGTAGTAGATATTATCAGGGAGATAGTAATAGTATACGTGTCAATTAAATATATCTAGAATAATAGCCGAGAGAGACACGTTATATTTACCAATCAAATCAATATGACGGCCATAAAACTTTTTAAAGGTTTTAATAAGTTTAGTGCGCAAGTATCCTTGTAGTTGAAGCTTAGATGACAAATGCCTCGATCTACTTAAAAAATCAGAATAAAAGGAACAAGCTCTCGCGTAACGAATTAGCCGAGACACAAACACTCCATAAGCTGGTGATATTGGAATGTTACTACTAATAAATGGAAAGTTAACAATCGGAAAGTCAAAGTCATCACGTTTATCGTACAATTTAACACTCAGTTTATGGCAATTGTCAAAATCGAGACGCAGATCCAAGTAGGAAGCGTAATTGTCACTGTCAGTGGTGTTTTTAATTTCGAGCTCATCAGGATATATGAATTCTATATAATCACTAAATTTAGGATTATTAAGTGATAAAACGTCATCGATATATCGATAAGTGAAATTAAAAAGTCTGACTGATCGTTTATTAGTTTTTACGAGCGTCTGTATGTAATCGGCTTCGTACGAATAGAGAAACAGATCAGCAAGCAAAGGTGCACAGTTGGTGCCCATGGGAATGCCAACCACTTGCTGATATATTTCCCCTCCAAATTCAACAAAGATGTTGTCAATTAAAAAATCCAACATCTGAATTATCTTGATGGCCGTGAATTTGTTTTTGGAATCACTGTGATTCTTAACGAAATATGTGGAATTGTAATTTACAACTAAATATTGATATCTCGCAGTACCTGATTTAGACGAAAAGACACTGTGAATAATGTCTTTCAACCGGGCTTTTAATTTACTATGGGGAATTTTAGTGTACAAAGTAGAAAAGTCAAACGTTTGAATAGATGAGATTGAAGCAAGGGATCTAGATTGCAAACCATCAAGTAATTCTTTGGAATTTTTCAATATCCACATTTGATTTATACCACTACGAGAGTATATTTTGTCACAGTATTTTTGAATACCCTCTTTAACAGCCGTTAGTATAGATGTCAATACTTTTGAAAGTGGTTTTGTGGAACAACGGGATGAACCTGCTATAAAACGTTGCTTGTAGGGATTTTTATGTAGTTTAGGTATCCAATATATCTGTATAGGTATCTCCACACGGAGTACCAAATGAAGTGAGTACAGATTTGTGATTGGATATAATTTCATCCTTACTAAGAGTTGATCGTTTATATGTAGCACTGTCGATTGGTTTCCCGAAATTAAGTTCTTTGAACAGACAGTCAAAATAATGTCGTTTACATATAAACACTATGTTATTGGACGCCTTGTCAGCCGGAACAATGACATACTTGTCATGCAAGGCATTGAGATTTTCAACAATGTTAACATCATTGAAAATAGACTTAGGCCTAGTGTCAACTGACAAACGTTGCATGTATATTCTTCGTTTAAGTAAACGACTGATAGACTTAGTCCAATCAGAGAGAGTATCCGAGATATAATAAAATAATAATAATAATAATAATAACTAGACCTGCATGGCAGTACTGAATCGGCTTTCAGGCAACAGACCCAAAGAAAGCATACGAAATTCCATTCACTGGGCTATCGAACGATACTTTAGCTCTTTTGATCTGGTAATATCCATCGGTGAAATCGCGTTTTTGGCATAAATCTTCATTTTTATGCATTTTTTCAAAATATCGGATATCTTATCGACTACGTCCGGTTTACGTATCAATTTCGGGATAATTTTAAAACGTGGCGTTGGCATTTAACTTCCTGTACCAGAAGATTCAGAAACATGCATAGAGCAATTTTGAACAAAAAGAAAAATAAAAGAGCATTTTCAGTAATTTAACGATTTTTCAATCTTTTCAAAGTTTGAGGCTCTTTTTGGACCATTTATATCATTTCAAGTCTTTTAAATTTGGATGCACACCCTAGACCACAACTCGCTAACCTCTAGGTCCAATAGTCAATTCCCATACTAGTCGAGAAATTATCTGATTTTCCAGCTCGGTTCTTCCCTTGTGAAAAGTGTAAGGATGATGGATGACCTGACAAATGACAAGATATAGTCAGAAGGGATGAGAAACCTAGGTCCTATATACGCATTTGCTTGCACGTAACACAACCCAAAACAAATGGAATACTAAATAAGTTCCCTATAGCGCTGCTTTCCGGGCAAAAATCCTTCATACCACAATTTTCTAAATTGATTATCTATTTCTGGTAATGTGCACCACTTTGATGCCATTTTCTACCTAAGCAGCTGTGGGAGTGCAAGTCACATATTTTAAGGAAAGGTGGGGGGTGGGTGACCAAATGGTTAACGCGCCCGCATCCCATCATGAGGTCTATCATTGAATCAATTGGTGTGGATGTGTCATAGATTATACATGACAAGGACTAGTGCCTGTCCAATCTCCTGGATTTCCTACCACTGCGAAAGTTTCTGTCACGAAGTCAAAGTGCTGTGGATTCCAGAACCCTGCTGTACGTGACCAGGGCATAAGGCCATCTGGTTTCCTCCCACTGCTAAAGACCCCAACGCACAAGCATATTATTGAAATGAAGTTTAACCATAAGTTATGCCCAAAATGACCTATTTTGTGTCGATGGATGTTAAACCACATTTCTTCATCAGCCAAGTCGGTATAAGAAATAGATTTTCACGATTAGCTATCATACACGTGAAATAACAAGGGTCTGTAATTGCATCAAGTCGCGTAGTCTCCGACACCCACAACCCCCTAATCTTCAACGCAAAGGAGGGGTTTTAGACTGTTGTCAATATTTCACGAAAAGTTCCCTTGCCCATGCCTAACCGGGAGTTTTTGTTGTTGTTGTTTTTAGATGGTTGATTATCCAATATATTTGGATGCAGAACACTATTAATTTCTCCAATGTTGAATCACTGGTGTTCTACATGCAGTAGCCCATTCCCTAAATTTCGTCGAGAACTTCCCTTTACAGCACAGCTAGTATGACATTATGAGATCATCAGAGTACTGAATTTGTATAACGGTTGACCACCAAAATTTCAATTCACTGATATTCATAGCAGACTGGGGACAGAATATCATGACCGTGTTAGTGCAAAAACATAACAACGCTTCTCGACTTGTTGTATTCTTACGCTATAAAAGTCTCAAACCAGGCAGAAAGTAGAAATTCAATACCTCTTCACCAATTCTACACCCAAGTGTCAATACAGATAGGCAATCAAAATGGCAAAAAAGAAACGAGACGGACCCCAAATCAAGCAGAACATAGATATTCAATATCTCTTCATCAATTCTACACGAAAATGTCAATACAGATAGGCCAACAATTTGCCATAAAAGGAGGGAGAAAAATATATCTAAAAATAACCAGCACTACCCAGATATGCAAAATTAATAGTGTTCTACATCTATCTAGCCACATCAGCTACCAAACGATAATTTAGTTGTTTTGATTCAATGACACCCGACGGAGAAATCTTGATTTTCGCCAAAGTACCAATCTTTTACTATTTGTTTCCTCAAAATATCGGTTATTTAACGATATTTAGCAAATAATTGCTAGTCTGCACCATCTTGTTAGGAGTAGTTACCTCCCTTATACCGTTACAAGCATTATCAATCATATAGCGAATTTTCGACTTTTTTCAAAGATTGGGACCCTTTTTGGACCGTTTATGCTATATTGACCCTTTTAGAGTTGCATTCACACCCTAAACCACCGTTAGGACCATAAGTAACCGAAGTTTAAGAAACAAATTTAGAGTAGTTTTCATAATAAAAGCGTCTGAATAGGCTCTAAAAAGGAAAAATCTAGATTTTCAGCGTCCGATAATCTATTGCCCTACGCATCGAATTTGTATCATTTGGATGTCATAAGAACGTCCATTATTCGGACTATCCAATGAGACTTTATTTGTTTAGATTCGGTGAAATCCAAAGGTGAAATCACGTTTTTGGCAAAAAATCTTCATTTTTTTGCATTTTGTTTCAAAATATCGGATATTTTTTCGAATACTTCCGGTTTTTGGATCATTGTCGGGGTAGCTTTAACAAGTTGT